AACTTGTTAAAAGACAACAGAAAACATAAAACTGTACAGCACATCGTTCAGTTTCTAAAAACCCTTGTTAAGACAAGAATATTTATTTATTTGCGACATTTATATCCCGCCCTTCTCACCCCGAAGAGGACTCAGAGCGGCTTACAAGTTATATGTATATACAATATATTATATTATTAACATAGCACAATATTAGTATTATATATTACTATATTGTACTACACCACTATACTTTTACGTGGTACCGAAAACATTGAATTCATCCTAAAAATAGAAGGTTTAGTCTTAAGTAATCTTTCTACTTCGTGATTTTCTTAATGCTACATACTGAACTGATTTTCCATTGTAACAAACTGGCTGTGTTTTTAGGGTTATAATCTGTAGCTGCTTATGAGGGGTTTCACACTCTAAGGGTAATAGGTTACATCTGGCTAACAATGAAAGTATTGTTGATAGTAGCTCTGTCATTATACTGCTAGTAAATAAAGAAGTTATGTCATTGTTTTCCTGTTATAAATCAATACATTTAGAGGTGTAGTCTGAGAAATATTTAACAGCGAGTCTTTGAAGCTCCCTGTCACTTCTCAGTACCATTGGCTTCCCAGGAAGAGGCAAGACATGCTGATAGCATGAATGTCACAGCAGCTTCTTCGTAATGCTTTCTGGTTGCTGGATGTCCTGAAACTGAAATGCTATATATCTTCCACTTAAGAAGGCCAGGGTTTCTCCTTCTCCTTTCCAAAGACAACTGTTTCCTCTGGAACAAATTGCATTGTTTACATCTGGCCAAGATAAATCAAATTATCTGATAAATTCCTACCACTCCATTAAAATCCAAGGCAACTATTCTATCAAGTCATCTGTCTTGAGTAGCTGACATAATATTTACCTTGGATTGACTGTTGCACTTCATGGGTCTAAGCAAAATATTAATATAGTTGTTCGTATCCATGCCAGTTTATCAGTATGTAGTATATATTAAATCCGTGTTCAAAGGTCATATAATTCCTGACTAGTTTTTGGAGAGTTCATCTATAGTAATAGATCTAGTAAAATATAAATAGTGTTTTTGTCCGATTTTTCTCTACATACCCAAAGAATATCAGTTGAATTATTATCTACTTGGCAAACTTAAGCCCCTTCCACACAGGTATACAAAATCCACATTGAACTGGATTATATAGCAGTGTGGGCTCAGATAACCCAGTCCAAAGCAAATATTGTGGATTGTCTGCCTTGATAGTCTGAATTATATGTCTGTGTGAAAGGGCCATTAATTATATTGACCAAACATGAGAAAGATTAAAAAAACTGTAATTACATAGGGCAGGGATGTTCTCTGAAGTGACCATTTCAGTTGTGGCTTACCTAACAAGCTTTTCGTATCTCACCTTCCCTTTTCTTAATAGATTTCATGTTACATGGCAGAATCTGTTGTATAAAAAGGTGCTTTTATGGCCAGTCCATCTGAATCTTTGTGAGTGAAGACTGTGAGATAAAACCCAGAGAAGGTACAATGGTAGCTTGGAACTGAAAAATGATGGCAGACAATTCCTTAGGGATTGCTGTGAAGTGGATCAGATGTAGATAAGTTTTCAAATTTTGGGCAGCTGCATTCATAGAAGAGTGAATGGCTCACTGAAATCATTTAAAGTTATTTTAGAGTTTTGATCATAATCTGTTCTAGGGCCCCAGAATCTTCTTGTTTTACCTTCACTTCGTAGTTAGATTTGTAGAAGTGCAATTTAATAGTTTCTTCTATGTTGAACAATTAGTTAGTGAATTACTATTTCTGAAACTTTCTAAAGCATTTCTAAAGACATGGAATTTAATGTCAGGAATTTTTTGAACTGTTGTCATGGGAAATCTAGGTAGACAGGACTCATGTTTTAGTCAGATTACGAAACCCAGTCTGAGAAATCATGATCTCCCCTTGCCCATATGCCCTCTTTATAAGGATACTCTCCTTTTAAAACCACCATTTCCCATTATGTTTAAACCACAAAAATATAATGTAAGAGTGCCAAACAAATCAGAATATGCAGTTGAGATCTCCCGATTCCACAAACTTTTTAAACAGAAGGCCAGGCCACAGTCCCTCGAACTGTTGGAGGGCTGGGTTATAATTTGAAAAAACACGAATGAATTCCTATGCGCACTGTATATATCTTATTTGTAGTGCAATAAACACTTAAAAACAATACAATAATTAAAATGAAGAACAATTTTAACAAATATAAACTTATTAGTATTTCATCAGCCTGCTTTTGGCTGATGAAATAGGATTGTTGTTGTTGTTGTTGTTGTGTGCTTTCAAGTAGTTTCAGACTTAGGTTGACCCTGAGCGAGGGCTGGGTAAATGACCTTGGAGGGCCGTATCTTAAGACTTCATTCTTAAGGACCCTGATTTAAGTTACCTCTTAGCACCAGTTCTGAGGTTTTTTACCCTGGGGACTCATTCTTTATGTCCAGATCATCCTGGATAACATTGAGGAGACCCCAGTGCCTTCATACCAGTTCTTTTGACAACAGAGGAAGATCCTGAATCTTCAAACATAGGCCATCTGAACTGGGGTTGTGTTTTGCTCCAGCATTCACAGCCATTGAGGAAAGAGGAAACCTGGTGAGGCTTCTCAGCTTCATTCCTCTTGGACCCAGAACTTATTGAGACTGTAAAGTATGTTTTCCTTCACCCCTCTGAAGTTTTCCAGCTCATTGCTTTAAAGAAATGACTTTGTTATCAATAAAACTTATTTTGAGCTATTTACAGCATTTTGGGTTTTTGGGAGTTCCGGTTTCCTAAAGGAGGGCAAGAAGCAATCCCTTGGGGGAAAAGTGCCACGTCCATCCCTCCTTCATTAAGACTAATAGCCCCCAAGCGCAACAGCACACCCCTGATCTAGGGGGAGTCAGTGCCACCCTTGAAAATTACTGACCATCCAAGCCAATAGCACCCCTCCCCCCCATTTTTAGTCCAAACTCCCATGTTTTTAGGTTAAAAAACACCATATTTATTCAATTCGTCCCAAATAGCCCTAAATAATGATAAAGAGCCAGTATGAGTTTTGGACTAGCATCCTGGGAGAGCAGAGTCCAAATCCTAATTTAGCCGTGAAGGCAATAGCAAACTCCTTCTGAAGAAATCTTGCCAACACCATGGTAAAGTTGCCATACATTAGAGTTGACTTGAAGGCATGTAACAAGAACAACAACACTAAATAATATAGCCCTTCAAATACTTATCGTCATCAAATTAAGTCTAAATAATCCTAAATAACCTAAATAATTTACTATTCATGGCTGGGTGTCAGTGAAAATGGCTCTGTACTAGGTGTTACGATCTACTAGGGCTCCAACTCAACAGCACAGTCTTCCGGGTCTGGAATGTGCCCACCCCTAAAATATTTTCACTGAAATTAAGAGGAGGGAGGTAGAAGTGCACAGGTATGTGGCTCGTTCTTGGATAGTTATGCCTGAACATAGACGTTTCACTGGTTGTGTTTGCCTGTTCATAGAAATGAGAATGTGTGTGTTAATTTGACAACTGAATGTTTTGGAACAGGCTTGATTGGATTTGATAAAAATGCAGGGCATATGTCTCTCCTTTCCTGCCAAGTTTTGATCAGTAGGCAATCTAAAAAATAATTATGTTGATCTGCTTTCTTCAACGTATGATTTATTGCCCACCAATTCAACTATAGGGGAAAAAAGTAATACCAGTGATTTCATCTGGAGTTTTTCAAATACATGGAAAGTTTGCACATGGTAAAATACCTCATTTGGATAATATTGTATATGAACATGACTAACTGTTTGAAATCACTTTAGCCAATGAAGCCGCCAACTTGGCCAGTTATCCGGGCTTTTGCTACCCTAAGAACAAAAGCTCAGTGTGGTACAGAAAAATACTTGGCAGAAGGAATTCTCACTCAGGTTGCATGTGTTGTTACATTTGGCTGTTGATGAAAATACTCTGAGAAATCCCTATGTGTGTGAGGTAAAAGGTAGCTAACACTATTTGGTCATTTTGGTTCTCTGAAAATTTCCTGCAGCAAATGTTTGACAGAGTCTAAGGATTAGGGTTGTGGTTGGTTGGATAAACCTATTATGACTTAAATGTTGCTGTACGAAGGAATCAGTTCTGCTAGATTGTCATAAATGAAGTTGTAGTGTAATGATTGCACTACTGTTAATGAAAAAATGTTATATTCTGCATTGCTGACAGATATTATCTTTGGAAATGTCTTTTTCAAGCCTTGCTCCTTGGGCTCCCTGATCCCCCCCCCACACCCCCCCCCCCACACCTTTAAGAAAGGAGTAGTCCTGGTTCCTCTCTGGCTTATGCCAGTCTTCTCTCTCCTCACTTCTGAAACTTCATGGATTTTCTTTAACATGCCTTGGATCAAATCAGGGGCTTATAATGAGTTGTAGAGTTTGAGAGTCAATAGTGGATGTTACAGGGGTGGGGGTGGGGGAAGGAAATGCTACATAAGAGCTGAAGAACCATTTCCTGTGTTACTATGATAGTTAGGATGCTTCTCCCATGGTAACCTTTCACCTTCCAGATCAGGCAAGGGATATGGTTTGCTGCTTTCTGGATCCTATTACATTAGATCCTACTCCCACAACTTTATGAATATGTTTTATGGCCTGAACCCTAATACCACACAGTACAGCAGTAGAAAGGACCCCCCGGTTGCACAATGGGTTAAACCCCTTGTGCTGGCAGAATTGATGACCAAAAGGTCTGCGGTTCGAATCTGGAAAGCAGGGTGAGCTCTCATCTGTCAGCTCCAGCTTCCCATTAGGGAACATGAGAGAAGCCCCCCACAGGATGGTAAAACTTCCGGGCGTCCCCTGGCCAACAACCTTGCAGATGGCCATTCTTTCACACCAGAAACAACGTGCAGTTTCTGAAGTCGCTCCTGACGCAGAAAAAAAAATCTTCCAGATCCATTCAATTGTTCTTCCTTCCTGATAATGACATTCCTCTTCCTCAGGTGACACTTGCTTGGGAAGAATTGCAGCCATGTTTTGAAGACGCAGTAAAGCAGACCCCACAGTACAGAACAGATTGTCCAATGGGAATGATCTAATAAAGGTAAGTGCTTTACATTTCATTGAATTCATTGACAGTGTTAAACAAAATACTTAAAAAAAACAATTCATTTTGTGGGCTACTATATACCCAGAAAATTTAGTTTCTGAGCTCCAGATGAACTGGAGCTCCTCTGTAGCTCAAAATGCATGTAGTTAAGTGAACTGGTTCTGCTTATCATTTGGGCTCAGGTTTTGGTATTTGAAAAGCCACTGTATTGTTGAAGGCTTTCATGGCCGGAATCACTGGGTTGTTGTAGGTTTTTTGGGCAGTATGACCATGTTCTAGAATGCTTCTAGAACAGTGGTTCTCAACCTGTGGGTCCCCAGGTGTTTTGGTCTACAACTCCCAGAAATCTCAGCCAGTTTATCAGCTGTTAGGATTTCTGGGAGTTGACGGCCAAAACATCTGGGGACCCACAGGTTGAGAACCACTGTTCTAGAACATGGCCATACAGCCCGAACAATCTACAATAACCCACTGAAAAGCCACTGTTCAAAAAAGGGAACTATGTATGAAGATGAATAAAAGAGAACCAACAGAGAGATGAAGTTACAACACTAGGGTGGGTAACAAAAAGTATTCCCTGTAAGAATGACTGGAAGTGAAACAAATTGTCCAAGAAAAATAAATTCTTTCATTCCCCAGCTGATTTTTGAAAGATGATCAGGAAATACTTATCACGTTAAACTTAGGTAATCCTGGCATTGAGAGTAGCTAGAGTCTAGTGGTTCTCAACCTATGGTCCCCAGGTGTTTTGGCCTACAGCTCTTAGAAATCCCAGATGGTTTACCAGCTGTTAGGATTTCTGGGAGTTGAAGGCCAAAACATCTGGAGACCTACTGGTTGAGAACCAGTGAGCTAGACTATCTGGAGCTGATTATTTGTCCCTTGGGAGTGTAACATGCTGATTTGTTGATGGATTCATGTAGTAGATTTAGGTTTTGGCAGTTTTTCCTGTACATACACATACAAAATATCTTTCTAACATTTTTGTCGTTTACTGATTCTACACGGTGTTACTCAAGGGAATTGAAGGGAGTGGTTCAAGTCCCTCCTGCCAGAATGTGGACCAAAATAACTCCTTGCGATTTTTCACTTTCTAAGGCAGCTCACATGGGGCTTCTCTTGAAAATCACAAAGCAACTTCTGAATGGTAATTGTTTTGTGATTTTGCAAAAAGACATAGAGAAAGACAGAAGGGTTGTAAGCTCATGTGCCTGTGCAATCCCATGGCTGTTCAGGTTTCCCATTGCTTTGGTTTTTATGCTCCAGAAAACACACATTAATTGTACTAATTTAAATAGCCATACCACATCAACAGTGTATCCTTTTCAGCATCATTTTGTCTCAGATCTGTGGCTTCTAGTTTGGTCATTACACTTTACAGAGCATTTGATTCTTTGCAACATTTATTTTTATAATATGATGGTAGTGAGAACATGTCTCTTTGTCAGGATTATACATTTTCAAAGTAGAGCCAAAACAAGTAACTTATATTTGTGAACATTGGCATATAAAAAGAGCATCCTGCAATACCACCAAAGAATTTCCATGTGTAGATGAAAAGCCCAACATTGCTGTTATATTGCTATCACATTAGTAGAGTATCAGCACAGATACCAGAAACAAATAGATGACATCCAACAATTATTTTCAAAGGTATTTTGTAAGGTTCCCATTGCTCTTTCCTTCTCTTTCTGCTACACCTAAACACACACACACAAAGCCTTCTTTTTAAATTCTAAGACAAGAGGAAAGAAAAAGAACAGAAAAAAATGCGGTGGAAAGTGATGGAAGATGAAGAGCAAACTTTCCCAGTTGTCTTGAGAGATGCTTCCTTCCTATTCTGACTCTTCCTTTGAATAGCAGAATACTGATCTTGCCAGATTGTTAATGTTGCTGCTGAATGCTATTTCTTTTTCCATTTTATAGGCCATAATTGCTTTCAACCGTCTTACTTGGCTGTAGGATAATAATGGAGCGAAGGTAGAACATTAAAAAGAAAAACCACAGTAGTTCAGGATGAAATTAATAAAGTGAAGCCGGAATGTTTTTTGGCTCCAGCTGTTAAACACACTTAACTGCCGTACCATTTTCTCATTGAAGATGCTGCGTCTCCCTTGACCCTTTGTAAGCTGGCAAGTAAATTCAATACGTTGACCTGTTAAGTAATGCAGAATTCTTAAAAGGAAGGCATTTTTCCAGTGTAAAACTATTTACCTGATTATTTCATTTATGTGCTGCAAACAAGAGAGACCAGAACCAGAATTTAGAAAAGATTACTCAGGCAAAGCAATTTTTAATAGATTTGCTCAACTAGCTCTCTTTCCGTTGTTCTTACCCACCCGCTCATCCCAAATTGGGCTGAAGGATGGATTTGTTGTTGTTGCAAATTTTATTTATACTCTATAATTTTCTCAAAAACATGGGAAGTTTACACATTTAAATGATTATAATAGTTTTTAAAATAATAATAATAAACGTTTATTTGTATACCCCTCTATCTTCCCAAGGGGTCTCAGGGCGGTCTCCAGCATAGGTTAAACATTGCAATTACAGACATAAAAATATACAAGTAATCATTATAAACAAAAACATTATACTATTAAACATTCATATTAAAATTAAAAAACAGTTCAGTGCTAATTCCATTGGGCAAGTTCAGTTTCCTATGGCCAAGATTCGAGAATGGGCCTCGATAACTATGGGAGGGCCGGTCTAATATAACAAGGTAAACTAGGGCCAGGGTAGTGGATAAAGTGCAAGCATGATCCTCCATGATGGTCAGGGCGGGACCTGGAGCTATTTATTTCCAAGGCCTAAGGCACAGATATGAGAGGGCTGGGCCAATGAGAGACATAGGGGCGAGGAAGCGGGTAAAGTGCATAGCAGGGCCTTAACTAATGGTCAGTGTAGTGCCTGAGGCTATTCATTTCCCGGGCCTGCTGAATAGCTATACTAGAGGTAGGCCAGGTCAAGGGCAATGAGGTATCAGAGGGCCAGGGAAGTGGGTAGAGTGCAGAGCGGGGACCTAAGTGTTGGCCAGGTAACTTGATGGGGGAAGAAAACACTCCCCCATCATTTCACATTCTTTATAGGCAGGGTAGGAACTACATGAGTCAGGGGTAGCTTGCAGGACATCAACTCTCAGGACACCCATCCCTCATTTTCCAGCACTCTCCTACCAAAAACACAAAAACAGAGTATAGCTTGATACTGTTGGGTTTCATCCCTGGACTGCACAAGTCTCTTATGTCATGAAGTTTCTAGACCTCAGTGAGTAGCTGGACTAGAGATAAGACCAGACTGAGAGATTCCTTCCCCAACATTCCTATGCATGTTTTCCCAGGAAGGGCTTCATCTTTACGCTTCCTCCTTGTCACTGTCTCCTCCCCCTTTGATGATGTAGCAATGGAATTCTGTGAGGGAACTTCCTCCTTTAAGTTTTATTGCCATTTGGTTGAACATGCGGTCTCCTCTTCTGTCTTTCTTCTGCTTTTTCCATCCTTCCAGTAAGGATGCATTTTGCCTCTCTCTAGGCAAAATGTAGCTGCATGGAACTTTTTGACTTTTTACCTCTCATAGAACATGAGATTTAGTAAGCTAATTAACTCCAATACCTTTTCTATCAAGAATGTATTTCTTTTACTTCAATAACTACTTTTGAACCTAAAGTTCTGACTCTGCAATCCTATGCCATATATGGAATAAAAGCTTATCCTAGCTCACCACAAGTAAGTTTCTGCTGGTTATGAAGTTTACTTCTGATAATCTGCTATGTTTTTGGTGGAATCACCCCAACTGATGGTTATTCTGAACCCAACATATACCAACAACTTGTTTTAACAGTAAATCATTTCCTCCTTCAACCAGAGGAGAAGTGGCTAGTATGTTGTAAGTTGCCTTGAGTCGTGTCCGCCTCCCCCCCCATGAGAAAGAGGGGTATATAAATAGAATTGGATTGGGTTGGCCCTCCATATAAAAGGATTGGGTTGGCCCTCCACCTCTAGTCCTGAGCCAGGAAAATTACTACTAGATTCAAACTATATGTGGTCATTCTGTTTACAGACTGCACATTCTGCTGATTCACATTAATGTAACATATGAAGTTGTCTTCATAACAGATAAGTTATTTGGTCTTTTCTGGCCAAAGATTATCTACTCTGAATGACACATCCTGTCCAGGATGTAATGAAGAAAATCTCCCCTGACTTGGTAGTATCTAATCCTTTTTAAAAGATTGAATTATTGAAAAACTTTACATGTACAAAGCTTGCCTAGCCTTAAACAAACTCAGGGTTCATTCAGCAGATCTGTATTTGGTTCCTGAATATACCTGTAAAAGCAGAAAGTGGATTGACTGTGAAAAGGGACAAAGAGTGGGATCAAATCAGTACATGTCCCATCATTTGTCTCATGAAAATGTGCCCCTTTGTAGGAAAGTGGAGTACGACCCCTATATGTTCCAGGGGATATGTTACAAGACCTTTTATGGATACCTGAAAACATGGAATATAGCAAACCATCTCTCATCCAAATGAGAACCTAAGTATCGCACACTCAAGAAAATAATGAACAATTTATTGTATTAAAAAGGAAATGTATCACAGAAGTTCTTAGCATTCACTGCAGTGGTTCTCAACCTGCGGGTCCCCAGATGTTTGGCCTTCAACTCCCACAAATCCTAACAGCTGGTAAACTGGTTGGGATTTCTGGGAATTGTAGGCCAAAACATTTGGGGACCCACAGGTTTACTGAGTAAAGACATTATGCTGGTAGATATTTTATAGACAAAGTGCATCTTTATGTGTGCTTTGTATTTGATGCAGTCCTTTAAGGAAGACAATTGCAATCAGATTCAGGTTCGCTTACCTACCTTTGTCCATTATTCACCTCATTTTCCCCCCAGAGTAGAATAGCCTGTGTGAATGTCTTACAGC